TTCTGCACCCGCCCATGAACCTCATCCAACCAACCTAGGTCTTCACTCACCCATTTTTCTTCTTCATTCGGCCCAACCTAGGTCTTGCCCCCCATCTATCATATGTTGTTCCTATGCTACTAAAACATTACTGTGGTATTAAATTATCTCAAAATATCTTTTTAATACGGATTATTAATTTTTTAAAAATTAATAATATAAAATTCTTCTTACCAAACAACAAAAAATATAATTGAAAAATAGTTTTCTTGAAAATCATTTTATTTTGGAAAATATTCTTTTAAAAAAATATTTTTTTACTCAAACAAATATACCCTTAATCTCAAAGTTTCTTATCCACACCAACCAATTCAATTAAATGCATGTCTAATGAGATAAGAGTAGTTTATAAGATAGGGTACAACTTTGTGTATCCCAGCATTTTTGGGGTAATTACTCCTGTTAGTTAATCACTATTTGTGGTGTGACTATAAATAGGATCCTTCCATTGAATTATTGTTCAACTCAAAACCTTCAAATAAAATTAGCAATCTTTTGAAACATATTTCCGACCATAAATTGATTTACAATCCCATGGCTGAGGAAAAGCACCACCACCACCACTTCGGCCACCACAAAGACAATGAAGAAGACGAGATAAGACAGCAGCCCTCCTATGACACCAACAACTACGACGACACTAATTATGCTGCTTCTGATCAGAAGCCGTACCGCCGACCCGCAGGAGACTATGGAGGAGGCGGCGGCGACTACGACTACAACAACTCGTCGTCTTACGTCGAGAAGAAACCCACTGCTGCTGATTATGGGTCGTCGTATGGCGGCGGCGCAGCCACTTACGGCCAGAACACCAATAACTATGGAGTTGAAGACTCCTACGGTGGCGGCAGCCGGCAAGAAGTTATAGGTGACGACGATGAGGAACAGAAAGGTCGTCGGAGCCACGAGGATTACCAAAAGGAGGAGAAACACCACAAGCATCTCAAGCAGCTCGGCGAGCTTGGGACCGTCGCTGCCGGTGCCTACGCCTTGGTATCATCATATTATTCTTCTCACTTTTTTATACTCCTTTCCGTCCTAAACACTATTTCCCTTTTGATTTTTTAATCGACACTTTTTTAATACAAATTGAACATACCCTTAATTAATAAATGATATACAGAGTAAAAATTTGATATATCAAAACTATATACTAAGATGAATCTAATTATATTAAATTTAAACAACAAAGGTTTTTAGGATCGGATAGAGTAAAACTTTAAAAATACGGAGTATAAATTAATTGATTTAAATTTTTTTAAACTAAACACTAGCGTTAGATAGTTCTCTTAAAAATTTTAAGAAGTACGTATAATACTTTGACCATTAACATACTCCCTCCGTCCCTGAAAACTTTTCTCCTTTTTTTTATCCGTCTCAAAAAACATTTCTCATTTCTATTAAAAAGTCACTTTTACCCCTTACTTTTTTATATCTTACCTATCACATCATACCTTTTTACTAATAATCTATCTATCAGATCATACTTTTACCCATCACATCAAAGGACATTTTTGGAAATTCAATACCAAAATACACTCTCCTTAAATCCCTCTTCAAAATTAAAAGTCCCATGTTTTCCGAGACGGAGGGAGTACTTAATTAGAAATACTTAATTATGCATGCATGCAGTATGAGAAACACGAGGCAAAGAAAGACCCGGAGCACGGGCAGAGGCACAAGATAGAAGAAGAGGTTGCAGCAGCGGCTGCGGTGGGGTCGGGTGCTTTCGCATTCCATGAGCATCACGAGAAGAAGGCAACCAAGAAAGAGGAAGAAGAGGCCGGCGAAGAAGGGAAGAAAAAGCACCACTTCTTTTAATTGCATAAATTAATACTCCCCAATAATTATGATTTTTTTAAGGAGTATATTAAAATTTGAATGAATGTTGACATTATCAATGTCTATATTCATTGGATTTTTAATAATCCGTATACTAAAAAAAGTCATAATCATCTGTTAAAATATTATACATATGTACGAATCTTTCGTTATATGCTTCGTGTTTACTGGTCGTATGTACAACGTGTGTTGGCCGAATAGTTGTGAATAAATTTCGGCCTTCCCCCTTTGGCTTATGTATTGTAGTGTTTACTTATGGGAGTTTGTGTTATATACACTGCAAATAAATACGTACGTGTTCGGGTTGTATTTACGTGTGTTTTGTTACGGATAAGAGAAATGCTTTGTGAACTTTAATATATAAAATTAAATAATCTAAAATAAATTTAAAATAATAATTTAAATTATAAATAGTAAATTAGTAAAAGTTGTAGTCATTTTATTTGTAAAACTAGCATTGTTATACGAATAATGGTTAAATAAGTAGTCCTACAATATTTGAACTCTTGTTATGTGTTATTATCCTTTGTATGTAGGCATGCTTTTATTTTTAAATGGATGTTAATTTTGGTTTTTTATGATCAATTATACAAAATTTTAACTAATGATTTTATTTTTATACATTTAAAAAATTACATCGCATTAATATGTCCTACGAGTAATATATATTCTTGGACAAAAAATGTATACATCAATTTATCCACAACAATGGTATAATAATGTCATCTCTTCTTTTATACTTCCTTTATCCCGTAAATTATTTTAACTTTCGTATCTTATTTATTTGTCTCATAAAATATTTTAATTTAAACTAAATGCACACTATTTTCTTTACTTCTATTTAAATTAATCGAACATATCTCAACTATCCTCTACGCCATATCAATTCTGATATTTCTCGAGACATACTCTTTTTAATTATCATCGTTCTAACTTGGTCAACTTTTAGAGTTTTTCATCCCAAAAATCTAAATTGGGAAATATACTCTTATTATTTTTTTATTGAAGACCAATTTAGAAAAATACCTTAGTTTCGTAAATATTTTTGTTAAAAATAAAGAAACAAAGCATTATTTAGACGCTAGAAGAAGGGGTTGAACCTTCGACCTTGTGGTTAACAGCCACACGCTCTAACCAACTGAGCTATTCCAGCTGATGTTTTTCCCTTCCAGTAAAGCTGTATAATACCCTAGGAACACACTCCGTATTATGGTTTCCTACCTGTTTTCTTTTATCATCCGAAAACGTCATATTTATTTCCTATACTAGTTCAAGAAAATTAGAGTGTACGTGTATTTTTGAATAAATAAGAAGTGACAACACTGTACTATTTTCTTTTACTAGTATTTCAACCCGTGCAATGCACGGGGTTAAATAAAAATTTTCGTTGATTCTGAATTTTTTCTATGTAATATTTTTTTAGGAATCAAGTAAATATATTTCTTACACGATTTTTAATACATTAGACAACAACACCAGAGTAAGATAAATAATATTTGACGAACCGAGAGTGTACTCGACAAAGTCATTTATAATTCCAACTTTTTGAAAGACTTCGAGGCATACAACATATTTCGTACGATTGCAAGAGTTTTTTGTCATTTAGAACCAATATTTTTAATCATGTAATTATCTTCACTCGTGAAACGACAACATAAAGTTGGTCATGAGTGAGTACTGACTTGGTTCAAAATAATCCAATAAAAGATAATGTTTGACATTGGCTTTTGTTAACAGTCAAAGCAAAATATAAGATTATTGGGATTTGGCTTCTTTGAAATTTTAGGGGTAGTCATTAATCAGATAGTACCAAATTCATTCAAGGTATGTAAACCTTTTCCCCAACTCGATTTCTTGAAACCACAATTGCATCGATAAAGTTTTTTTGAAGTTCTTTAACTATTACACAATCTATATGTTTGGTCAATGTTTCTCAATAACATAATTCGTACCGCTTTTTTAAAACTTATTTTTGGTTTAGGATAACTGAATATTTGATTTCATTCAAACACTCAACTGTTAATCAATCGTCATCAACACCTATATATGAATCTCTCTGACATGAAGAATCAGAACATAAGTACTCCTTTTCATCTTCAGCGATGAGGGATATGACAAATTCTTTTTTTTATTTTTCTACAGCCTTGAGCATGGGTGCCAATAGTACCATATCTTAAAAATAATCATTTGTCATATTCTTTTATAGGTTCAAAGAAATGAAGTCCATTTTACTCTTGTGGGGATAATTTTTGTCATGAATCAAGAATTCGGGTGATATTTCAACATCAACAGTTCTATCAATCACTTGTTAAAGCTTTCCATCTCCGATTTTGATTATCCAGTCAGAAAAAAGCTTGTACTCCTGAACATTTGATTTCATCCAAACACTCAACTATTAATCAATCGTCATCAAACACTTAACTATTAATCAATCGTCATCAACACCTACACATGAATCTGTACAACATGAAGAATCAAAACTTAAGTACTCCTTTTCATCTTCGGTGATTAGGGATATGACTAATTCATTTATCATTTTTCTACAATCGCGAGCATTTGGTGCCAATAGTGTCATATCCTAAAAAAGAATAACTTTACGTATTCTCTAATATGTTTGTATTAATGAAGTCCATTATACTCTTAAGGAGATAATTATTGTGAAGATTCAAGAATTCAAGCGATATATCAACGTTAGCAGTTCTATCAATCACTTGTCTTAGCTTTCCATCTCTGACTTTGATTATCCAATCAGAAAAAGCCTGTGTGTCCCTATCCGCGCAAAAGGACATAGATGAATGCAATCTCATATTCTTGATGAACATATAAACATTACAATACGACCATAATTTTGAGGAATTGACATTAGCACCTACAATTTTCTCTCTTGAACACTTTGGTAAAGCTAAAAGAATTTGGCAAAGATCACCTCCATGTACAACTTGGTTATCCCTAAATGGTTCATTTATGGAGTAACATCTCTCATTGTGTGATATAAAGCTCAATAGAAAAATCTATTAATCTTACATGTTTAATCTTAATTGATGGCACATGTTGAACTTTCGATAAGCTCTAAAGGGATTGAAAATCTCGAGTGTTTTGTCCTTCCACCGGGTAAAAGCAATGTTGCAATGCAATGGATGCGACATTTAAAATAATCTCACCATTTGACCTTAAAGAAGCAGACAACGATTTTAGAGAAATATTTTTTTTTCAGTTTCATAATATTTATATATGGAGTAGTATTGAGTTATATGTCAAAATTAGTATTTTTTTTATTTTTTCAAGAATTAAGTTTAATATTAATTATATTTATAACAATTAATATTATGTCATATATATAGATTTGATATCAATTTCAAAAAGGTAATCCATAAGATAAGAAGTCAAATGTTGTTAGTGTCCACAATTATAGAGAGTAAGAAGGAATTATGAGAAATTAGTATCCACAACTAATATGGAATATACTCCGTATTTATTTGAGATTCTAGAAAATCTCGTTTACTTGTATAGCCATGACATATATTGATAGTTAAATCTCAAAATACAAATGGCGAATTTTTTTTGTTTTTTTAGAAAAAAGCATTTGAATATGATTTTTTTGTTTTTCAAATATATTTATACCACATGTTTATTTTACATCATTTTAACAATCGTTTTTTGGCAAAGACAAATTGTTAATGGATATTTTCAATAATAAAGAAGCATGTGAAAATAAAAGTTAAGCTCAAAGATGGTAAAAGTTGACGTCTGCATCAATGTCTTATATTTTTTTGTCTTTTAATATAAATAAGACATGTGTTATATAATAAAATATGCATTATTTTTTCATTTATAACTTTTTTTGTCTTTTAATATACGTAGTATACATTTTTATTTATTTAAAAATATTTAAAAATCAATTTCATAATTTTCTGTTTTCTATTTTAAGAAAAAAGTATTTAAATATCATTTATCTTTCTCTTTCAAATAAATTTCAACCCCACACACTTTAATTTTTACATCAATTTAACAGTTGTTTTTTATTTTTGGTGAATCCAAATTGTTAGTGAATTTTCTAAGAGGGTAGAAGTATGTAAAAAATAGAAGAAGCCTCCTAGGAAAGGAGTAAAAAAATTTAAAAATACCAAAATAAAAGTCTAATGTATTTTAAGACCAAAATATGAGTATAATGGTAATATCGTGTAAAAATACGCGTTGGCGGTGCAATAGAAAAGAGATGACATTGTATTATGTCAGGGTGATTAGTCAACCTTTGGCGATCTATAGTGACACTCTAGTGGCCGGCGGCAACGAATGACAGTGTGACGATGATAGTGTAGGAGTCAGAATGTGACAGCGTGGTGAGTGTGACTGTAACAATGACGGTGTGAACTCCTATTCTGGTATTAAAAAATCCGAATAAAAAATGCTTAAATTTAATGTGTGCATTAATGCCTTTTTTAATTTTTTTCCTTAAAATTAAAATATGACATTTGTATATACTTAAAAATTCATTATTTTTTATTTATAATTTTTTTTCCTTCTAATATATGTACTCTTAACTTTTAGCACATAAATAATAAACAATTTTATACCGAGTACGTTTTATCCATTCATAATTTTTATTATATACTCCAAATTCTATGTATTTTCCATAAATAAAGCATGTACCATTTAAAAAAAATTTAAACCTAATTTGGTTCAAATTATATACATCCAACTATCAATGACATATATAAAATTTGTAGCATTTAAGTTATTTTTGTGTTTTTACCAATTCCAATGGGTGATTTCAAATTATTAGACTTCCAAGTTTTTGAAAAATCTTTTGAAGAATTTTTTTTTGTTTTTCTATTATGCTGGAATATATGACATGAACAATTATGCGGGAGGTATTACAATTCATGTGGTCATTGCAAAAAGCTGTAGTGGTACTAAAATTAAAAGTGCATTTAGCATTCTGCCCTCAAAAGTGCATTTAACATTCTGCAAAATTTGTGCTTAACACACATTTGCCATTTGATCAGTATCAAGAATTGAAAAGCTAACTTCGTCTAATGGTGCAGGGGCACACTCATTGTGGTTCTTGCCATCCGGATTAAATTTGTGCACAAAATTATTTCCCAAAAATTGTTAACATTGAGCATTTAACAATAGTTGGAACATGTTAGATTTTAGTAGAAAGGTTCATAGGACCGTCAACATCTATATTAGTCAACATCTATATTATCGTGTAGGTGAGGAGCAAGCATTAGGAATGTTAACATAAGAAAGAGTAACATCTCACACATTAACATCGTGTATAGGATCTGGGGTCACATCACACAACAGGAGATACCAATTAGAGACCATACCTTCACCTGATATTTTTACCATTAGAAGTGTTATCGTCAAAGTCACTTCTTTATCAGAATATACAACAGGGCTACAAACTTGTAGTATTGTAGAACCGTCTACAGAGGTGCATGTAATTAGTAGTAAGCAAAATAGAGTTCAGACTATTAGCAATAACATAGTTCGTGGAAACAAAATTCAACATAGACTTGGCCTCAATTGAAGGTTAAAAAGCACACACAAGCATTATCAATGAAGTACTTACTCATATAAGCTATCACCATGTTTTTACAGAAAACACTGGCAGCATCCTGGAACATATATGGTCATACTCAGTGTTTGGCAGCAACCTGGAACAAAAAAATGCATTGTATTGAAAATTTTCATGTTCTACTTGTATTGGGGATCTCAATCAAATTCTCAAATTGTGTAGTACAATTATACTTCTTGTGCATAAAAACCTCTTTTTAAATAAATTACATCTCTACGACAACAACAACATTACAACCACAACAACCCAGTAGAATCCCACGAAAGCAGGGTCTGGGAGGGTGTGTGTACGCAGACCTTACACCCACTAAAAGTAGAGAGACTGTTTCCAAGAGACCCTCAGCTCAAGCAGCACAAAATAAATAAATTATATCTCTATAATAGAATAAAATGATCAAATTATTACTTCCTGTGCATTCTGTTTAGTATAATTAAAAAAATTGCAAGACTTTTTACTTTTGAATAGAAAAATATGATACCAATGCATATTGAAGGAGTAATAAATAATAAATCAAGTAAACATTCATGTCTCACATGTGGAATAAAAATAAAAAACAAACTGTAAAATCGGACCTTAAAGAGTATGGTGAATAAGATTAAGAAGATAGGTTTATTACATAATTTTGAACTCTAGAAAGTTGAAAATAGGAAAACTTGAATGCATGAGCACTTCAATGAGCCAAGAGTGAAGCAAACACTGTATTTTTCATTCTAAGTTCACTGCGTGGGAGAAATAGATCAAAATCAAAAGACACTGAGTGTTAAGACAATGGATTGAAACTGGGAACACGCAGATCATCGATTAATCAAACACACAGAACACTCGCCAAGAAATACTCAGAAATAATGGTTTCAAACAATTTTGAAACATGGAATATAATGTCATTAGTTCAATAAATGAAATAAACTCGTAGATAAGGATTTACTCACGCGTTCGTCCATGAATATTATCTCGATTGAATTTGCCACCTTGTCATCATTGTACACCGGCAACGTATATAGTAGCATCACACGAATCAAAACACTCCAACATTCAATGGTCGGATTGATCTTCTACAAAGGGTGAATAGTTTTGGAAGAACATTCACTTTCACGACGTGAACTCTATCTGAATTCGTAAAAACCTATAGAATAATCAATAACAAAATTTTGCCTACCCATTCCAATTCAATTCAATTCAATCAATATTCAGAGAAATAATTGCAGCAATTGACATACAATTTTGCGTTGATGGATTGCCAGCAACAGGTTTCTCAAATAAGTCTGGTTCAATCAAATGGTAAGGTAATCTCCCCTGGACGAAACTATCCAAAAAACACAATTTCATAACAATAAATTCGACATTTCATTTCTAAAAAAACAGCAATTCTTACTCGAAAAAATAATGCAAAAAAAAAAATAAAAATAAAAATATTTTCTCCTCACCTGTGATATTCATCAGCATCAATATCATGCCATAACGCCTGAAATGCAAAGCATTTTATTTTTTCAAAAAAAAAAATAGAAATGAAAAGATACATTTAAAATCAAACAATTTCAAATCTAGGACAAAGAGAGTGTTATAATTGTACTTGTAAACCGGCGAGAGAGCTCCCTTATTTTCTGAAGAGCTCGATTCGCAGAGCAGAAGCTTTGGATTGATCTTCTCAATTAAGCAAAGGAATATGGTATCAGCACAACTTGCAAATCGAGAATAAATTGCTGAAAGTTTATAATTTGATTTATAGATGATCCAAATTATAATAGTCTTTCCTCAATTAATAAGAAAATCATTTTACTTAAACTTCAAAAAACATCCAATCCTTCCTCAATTAGATCAACGAAATAGGCTAGGCAAAGAATATTGGAAAGTGAAGCAATTTTACAAAAAAAAAAATATCGCTAATAGCACGCTCCCTTAAACTTACCACATCAAGTGCCGCTACACCTCCAATCACAGCTGATTTTCTGCTGGAAGGAGACGATTTGATGGAGAGGAATTTGCCGCACACGAGCTCACCGATCGATTCCTAGAAGGAAAAGAGCGTAGAAGGGAAGTGTTCTACAGTTCTACGTATATACTCCGGTCAACTTAATTACCCATTTATGAACCGATGACATGTTCAGAATATGTGGCTGATGACATGTTTAAAAAATATCTCGTAAGCACGCCACATGTCGTGATTTTAGAAACTCAACTCACAAATATTATATATAAAGGATTAAAAAATTTATTAAAATAAACAAAAAATTAAATATTCCTTTCGTCTTAAAATTAACTTCTTATTTGAATTTTTAGAATTTCTAATGCAACACTGCGACTACTAATATTTCTATTTTTATATAAATATATGTTATAAAAATAATATATTTTAAAACTATGCTTTAATATTTTAAAATATGATTCAATATATTTTATTATCGTTTAATATATATTTTTCGTAATATGTGGTCAAAATTTGAAAAATTTAACTACAAAAATCAAACAAAGAAGTAAATTTTAGGTGAATAGAAAAACAATTACAGTGTTGTCACTTCTTATTTTTTAAAATCTTTTCATATAAAGAATAAATTGTATTTTTTAATTTGAACTTAATTTTCATATAAACTAAATTAAAATTTATTTTAATCATGAAAAAATTTGGGAGAAAGGATAATAGACTTTAAAAAAAATGATCGTAAATGGAATACTAATTAGTGAAATTTGCACTAAATAGGACTAAAACATAATGACTTTCCTAATGTAGGACTTAAACTTTTTTATTCCCTAAATAGGACTTAATAATGACCTAGTGGGAGGAATAATGTCTAGTAATGCTAGACATTTACTTGAATAATGACTACTTGTTAATGACCAAAAGTCCTACATTAGGAAATAAAAACATATGGTCCTATATTGGAAAAGTCATTAGAGCAGTAGAAATGGGTTTCACGCCCAACCATGTTAAAGTACTTTTGACGCGTGGGGGCGTTAAACACCGCCCCCCTCCCTCCGTTATGGCGCGTTATAATTCCTGAGTCAAAAACTTGACGCAATTTGAAGCGTTAAAACGCCTTCTTTCTTCCTTTTCTCTCTCTTTTTTCTTCTTTTCTTCTCTATAAATTAAATTAATTTTTTTTAAATTCAACAAAAATACAAATCTCTCTTTATCTATCATCTTTTTTTAAAAATTATTATTTAAGTATTTTATTTATTTTTTCATGAATGTAATTTTTTTATTTAATGAATGTAATTTTTCATAATGAATGTAATTTTTTTATTTAATGAATGTAATTTTCATAATGAATGTAATTTTTTTATTTAATGAATGTAATTTTTTATAATGAATGTAATTATTTTATTTAATGAATGTAATTTTTTAATGAACTATTCTCGTTTCAATTATTTTAAATAATTAAATATTTAAATGTTATTAATTTAATTTTAGAAGATATGTATTTAAAATGTAAAAAATGAAGGTTTGAAGCCCCAGTTTGAAGCCCCGGGACTTCAAACCCATTTCCACTGAAACTGTGAGGTAAGTTAAAGCTGACGTGGCAGAGAAAGAAGGTTTGAAGCCCCGGAGCTTCACGAGTATTTCCAGTGCCCTTATGTTTTAGTGCTATTTAGATAAATTTCTCTACTAATTAATCTCTTCATTTTAGCTGCTATAGAAAAAGCATCAAACCGAATTTCCTGCAAAACTGAAAATTTTCTTCATTTTCCTCTCCCGATGCCACAGAAAAAAGAAAAGAGAAGAAAAAGAAGAAAACATTCCGCCCTTTGTTTTTCTTCTTCTTCTTCAAAGATTCGATTTTTTTAATCACTCAGAGTGTAATTCTTCGATTTCGAAGGACCAATCAGAGGCCACACGCACCCATTTACATATATAGGCATTGCCGCATTGGTGCGATTCGCGGTCGGCGGCTTCTTTGAATCATCACATTAATTCTGCTCATTTTGTTAACGGGGAATTGGTTGGCATTAATTGTTTCTTCAACCATATAATAATTACAACAAAAATTGTAATCATAAAATGTCGTGCTGCGGTGGTGGGGAGCTAGAGGACTACAGCGGGCCGGCTAATCAGAGCACCGCCCCTCCTAAGGCCGGCCACCCCTATCACGGTGGCACCGGTGGTGGTATGTCTCCTACTCAACGCCAATACATTATATTACATTTGTTTCTTGTTTTCTTTAAAGTTTTAGATAGTAAGTGCAATAACACATTTTGGTATAATAAGGGATAGGAAAATGCTAGGGTGCCACCACATGGGTGTTACCATGGGTGCACCCATGTTTCGCACAGACAAACACAGACGATAATTGTCTGTGTCGCACATGTGTTTGTCTGTGCGAAGCATGGGTGCACCCATGGTAGCACCCATGTGGTGGCACCCTAGCATGGTCCGGATAGGAAAATGGTAAATTATATTACATCCATTTGCATCTTATTTTCTATGAAGTTTTGGATTTAAAAAACGCAACTTTGCGTTTAGGTGTAGATTATAGTGACTTTTATTAATGTAGTTGTTTAATCAATCATGAATTTGGTTGTGTTGTAGCCAGTGAAAGAGAGCCAAGGTCTTCTGGGGCTATGAGAAATGGAGCACCTCAGAAAGTTCTTCCCATTGAGACACCGGTGATGCGTTTGGATGAGCTGAATAAGCTAACGGGCAATTTCGGTCAAAAGGCTTTGGTTGGTGAAGGCTCATACGGCCGTGTTTTCTCTGCAACTTTGAGCAGTGGCCAACAGGTTGCAATAAAGAAGCTGGACACCAGTTCCTCACCAGAGCCAGATTCTGAGTTTGCCGCGCAGGTGACTCATTCGCAGTTAATGTTTCTTAATTCTCAACAACACTTTGAGGATCGATGTTGCTTCATAGACATTATATGACTTGGAAGTTGTTTGTATATGCACAGTTGTCAACAGTTTCAAGACTCAAGAATGATCATTTTGTGGCTCTTCTTGGGTATTGTCTTGAGGCAGATAACCGGATCCTTGTATATGAGTTTGCCACCTCGGGATCTTTGCACGATGTTTTACATGGTATATATATGGTTTTGATGATAATAATAACAACAACAACCTAACCATTTCTGAGATGGGCAAGATTGTCTTTACACGATGTTGTTTCAAATGAAATGCAGGAAGGAAAGGGGTGCAAGGGGCAGAGCCAGGTCCAGTCCTTGCTTGGAATCAGAGAGTAAAGATTGCTTATGGGGCAGCAAGAGGTCTGGAATATCTGCACGAAAAGGTTCAGCCCCCCATTGTTCATCGCGATATCAGATCCAGCAACGTTCTCCTCTTTGAGGATTTCACAGCAAAACTTGCTGATTTCAACTTGACAAACCAGTCCTCTGACACAGCTGCCCGGTTGCATTCCACTCGCGTCTTGGGAACTTTTGGCTACCATGCTCCAGAGTTAATAAACCCTTTGTTCTTTTTTCCCTTATTTTGCTTTATCACAAATCAAAATGTCATTATTGCTTGAGTTATGGGTGCATGCAGGTATGCAATGACGGGACAGATTACTCAAAAGAGCGATGTTTACAGTTTCGGAGTTGTCCTCTTAGAACACTTGACAGGAAGGAAGCCAGTTGATCACACCATGCCCAAAGGGCAACAGAGCCTTGTCACATGGGTATATATATTTAAATGTTCTCCCATAAACTCTTCTGTCGCCTTTTTGTCACCCAAAGTTTATATGTTTTTTTTGTATAGGCGACGCCAAGATTGAGCGAAGACAAAGTGAAACAATGTGCGGATCCAAAGCTAAACAATGAGTATCCCCCTAAGGCTATTGCCAAGGTAAAGCTAGCTAGTAGCTTTGAGTTGTACCTGCATTTATCTAAACAAAGGATTTGAATGTGTGCTTAATTAACTTTCCTCAAGAGATAATAATGTTTGTTTGGGTGGTTATCAGATGGCAGCAGTTGCAGCACTGTGTGTTCAGTATGAGGCCGATTTTCGTCCCAACATGACAATCGTCGTCAAGGCATTGCAACCGCTTCTCAACTCAAAGCCGGTCACCGGCTCAGAGTCCCAACCATGACCTTTTTTGTTGAGTCTTCCAAATCTCAAATGTTTTTCTTTTTTCTAACTTCCGAAAAGAGATTTTGCAAAATTGTTGTCCAAACCATGTTTCCATCCTAATGTTAGCCTAAATGGAGGAGACTGAAAAGAAATTACCTTTTGCTCCAAGGAGGTTGCCAACATACTTGGCATGGAAGATTGTGGAATTGAGTATGAAGAGTATCAAAAACAATGTTCAAAACTGTCTCCAAAATTTCCTTCATACCTGAAGGGATTAAGAGCAAAGTTTGTTGAGAGTGGTACTGAAGGAGCTATCACAGCATGCCACATTAAAGATATTTTGAGGTTCATGACTGTTGATGATGATGAGAGCAAGCGGCACTTCAAGCAGCTGATGTCTTGCTATCTTATAGAGCAATTAGCATGAGAGGGCCAATTAGCAAGCAAAAAGTAAATGTTTGAAAGTTGAATCACTTCCTTTTTTGTTGTTTTTTTTTTTCATTGGACTTGGACTATACTTCTCCCGTGGTGGTTTAAAAATCCTTCGAGATCTACTTTTGGGAATTGCCACCATGTGGTAATGTGACACTGTACTCCTGCATATAACTATACTTTCTGGTAATGTACATGATCATGATTTGTAATGTAAATATATTTTAACTCTTGTTTCGAGAATTAAAACATGAAAGTCTTATTTTGGTATATTTTCAACGTTTTATTCTAGTCTTTTTCCCTTTAGTTGCAAAGTTGGATTACGTATTTATTTGCAAAATATTATGGAGCAAGTAAAGAGGCCACCACTATCTCAAAAAGCAACAATTACTCTATACTTTATAATGTACTCCGTATTACATAGCAATTGATTAATCCAACTTAACCATTAATTTTTTGAGATTACGATAGATATATACATATATATATATATATGAGAATTTGCAAGAAATAAAACAATTTCTGATAAGAGATCGAAGACTAGAAAACCCATTTTTAAAAAAGCATTAAAAAGTTAAGTATAGGGAGGGTTAGTTTTTTAACCAAGTGCCCATTCTCTACTGCTTTTTTTGTACGGAGGATGGTCAACAGTGGGACACCTCAATACTTTTTTCCTTTTCATTTTCTTGGTTTTTTAATTCATTTTTTTATTGATTTTCCTTTTTATCCAATTGTGTGATAGAGATGGGGTTTGGAATGGTATGTCAAATATTAAAACCACTTAAATCCCTAAATCCTCATTAGCATTGGGGGGATAGCCTAAGTCTTTTAGCTTCTTGATCAGGCAAGGCAGGGTAAATTAGAAGGAAAGACAAAGCATGCATACACAAGTGGAGTGCCCAAAACATAAAAATCAATTGTGTGTCTCTATCATCACTATCAGAGACTAAGGTAGCATTTAGCATCAACATTAGAGATTAACCTTAATGTTTTGAAAAAATTATCTGAATCGCTAACGCTAATCGAAAACACTCTTCTCAAACACGGCCTAAGAGGACAAAGAAACCAAGAGATTCTTGAACCAAAATGACACCAATTTTCAATTTGCCATAAAGATCAAGTCTTCTTCTTTTGTTAAAACACAAAAACTCCCCTAGATGTTAATCAAGACGCCCTTTTCAGTTCGGTGCCTAATGAGAGGGCACATTCTCTTCGACCAAAAAAAAAATACATTAAAAAAAGTGCTCAATAATAATAGTGGTACCCTCTGCCCATTAGGACTGTACAAGCTGGTTTTCGTTGATGTGAAACGAAGCATCCTTTGAAGCCCCAACACAGGTTCTGCTCTCGTGCACGGCTTCAGGCACAATCTCCCTTTCCCAACTCCCACTTCTTCCCCTGCTTGTTGTTGAGAGCAAAGTTCCACCCCCAACAAGCACAGATTCATCAACCCCAGAAGAATTGTTGTGTTGGGAGACATCATCGCTCCCCCCTCCTCTACTCCGGATGTCAATATCTTCAATAATGTCATGATGACGCCGCGAGATCCTCAAGAGGTCCCCTCCAATGTCTTGATCATTTTCTACCTTTGCACGCCGGTCCGTATCATCCCCTGTTTCTTCAGCTCCCCCGGCAGTTGTTGTGGGAGGAGGCCCTTGTTGTGTCTCCTCCTCTTGCACAAAAGCCCTAAAGTTGTTCCGGGATGGGCTTACTTTTGTACAAAACACTTCAGACGTATTATTCCAACAGCCACGGTCATACATGTTGGGCCTGTGGTCTGATCTATATCTGAAATTCTCATATGTAGTCTGGAGGAGGGTATGAAAGAACGCACATCAGAAGAATGTATGAACACATGTTAAATAATGTAGCAATATTGAAAGATGAGGAATGTTCACACTTCTTCCAGCTCCATGCATGGACAATCCACGTTAAGACATTAAACAACCATGGACAATATACGTTAAGACGATAAACCCATATAAGACTTTCAATGGCTTTTTGTCAAAAAAGTATATGATCCTAAAACAAGAGTTCATATCAGGAGGAAAAAAGACAGACCTGATTGGAGATGATGAGGAAGGAGTGAAAGCCGGTTAGCCCACCAACAAACCACAAGGATATAAAGCAGTAAACCATAAGAACTGCAGAAGCTGGAGATTCTTTCATTGCCTTCCATACTGAGCTTCTATTATCATCCATCAGTACCTTAATGTAGAAAGCACACATGGCAAACACATAGATGCACAGAAGCGTCGCGGATGAAACAAAACAAAAGAAGAAGCGGTAGTTGCGCTGCATCATTAAAAAAAAGAAAACAATAAACCATCAGGAGATGACAATTGATGTGAAACACAATATGTTTGATAGTGTCACATAAACACCTACCAATCCTATGCATTGCCCCACCCATGGACAATGATGATCAAAACGCTCCACACAATTATCACAAATAGAACAATGAGAGCAGCGAGGAGGGCGATAGAGCATGCAGGTATCACAATATTTGACCTTTACAGGAATTCCATTAACCATAACTTCCTTTGTTCGAGGAAACTGAAGGTTTGGTGTTTGCCTTCCTCCAACATCTGCTGATGCTGACGCATCATGACGAATCTCTTCCTCAGGAGGATGCGCATTACGTGGAACAATACCAGGATCACGTGCTGAAGTTAGTAAAAGTAACACCAATACCTACAAAAAGTAATCAGATCATTTCATTTAAGCCAATGTGCAATCTGTCGACTGCTAAATTGGCAATATGGTGGTATTATGTCACAGATGAGCAAACAAGAAGAAAAAATCATAAACCAGGTGACACTAATGAAGCAAAGAATGCTAAGCTAACCAGCCAATGCACACAATTAGGAATATAATCAGCAGTCACAATTTCTAGGGCAACAATTTAAAAGAACCTTCCCTATTAAAAGAACGAGCTTAGGGGTAGAGATTTCAACGCAGTACCTCCATAGACATACGCCCTAGAGAACCAGGAAATGATCCGAGTCTTTACAGATACCCAACAAGTTTTCATACATGAAGACAACAACGATAAGATTCACACAAAAAGACTTACACAAACAAGATAGCATACAAGCATTCTCTACACCGTAATCTGATATCAGCAAAGTTCATAACATGTGACATGTCATGCTTGATAGAAACTAATACTACTAAGCATTACCCCAAACATGTCATGGGGCAAAATGTCCACAGTAAAAGATACAGACAAAATGAAGACAATTATAGCAGTTTCAACGACACAAAAACCTAGTATGCGATGATGGCACCTAGTGGAGAATATGCATTTTCTTTATTCGTTTATTGGATTGAGAACCAAGCCCTACGAAAGGGAGCAAACTCTCCTTCACATGAGGCATACATTTCCAGCTCATAAAGATTATGTAGCTTACAATTACCAGAAAAATAACAATGCTGAACATATGCCTTTAGAGTTGAATGTAATGATGTTATTACATTTAACATTATGCTTAAGGAAGTATATGTCACTTCTTGTTTCATCATGAATTGTAAATCTCATATCAGTACGAGTTTTTAAGTGGAATATCACATTCGCTTCGAACATGCATTGTGGTTGTGAAAATCGGTTGCCTCAAACTTTTTTAGGTTTATTTGGCACCTATAGGCTGGTTGATAAATTTAATTAATAAAAAATTAGAAAAGACATTTAGAAGCTATAACAGTTTGAGCTAGGAAGGAAAGTATCTGGAGGCCCACTTATGCTTGAAACATATCTCCCTCGCCCCTGGAGGCTTACACCTCGGCCTTGCTTCTTGGGAGGAAAAATAGCCTTGAGTCCCGGTTACGCCTTTTCAAGCATTGTCATGCATGTGCAATGTATGCAAATGGAGGTTAAGGAAACCCATGAATCTATAATTATACTGATAGATGCAAAAAGAAAAAATGCAGATACACATACACACTTGAAATCCATCATAGGCATCTGTACTGCTCTGCTGTATAATTGATGTGCAAAGAACATAATGGATATATGCTTAAAACAGGACTTACAATAATGGTAAAGACAATCGGTGCCACTAAAACAGCATATCCAGCATCGTGAGGTGAAAACTGATGGCGTAGATGCCTTGCAACAAAGACACAATAAATGGTAACTGGCACTGTGACTAGTAGTAAAGTGATGAGCAATGACCTTGCATCCGGTCCAAATATCAACCTTCCGCCGAGAAAAAACTTCTGTAGACAAAAGAAATTGGTTTTGAGAATACTTGAATACAACTACACAAACTTAACATGCATATAAAAATATATGCTGCCACTAAACTAACAATGGGGAATTAAGAGTGAAACCATAATCTACCGAGTAGATGAAGTAATGTTGTACAGATAAACAAAATAATTTAGCTATATAACAGAATGTTGAATTAAAAAAACGTAAACAAAAAACCACCATGACATACTCGGTATATTCCTTGATAGGTATTTGAAAGGGCATGCTTGAAGGCAAGCAAGAAATGTTTTCCCCAATTTTCAGTAAAGGGAAATTAAGGATGTTACCTAAGTTTTAGGACCTCCAAAACCTAATGTAGAAAGTTTCAGAAGTTTTTCTTCTGCCACTTTTGTTAACCTAACCTTCAATTTACATTCATATACCAAAACAAGGCCAAACCAAATTTCTATATGTATTACTATTACTAGTATTACATTATGGATGCAACAATAAACACAAATCCATAAACCTCTCTACACCAG